GAATCAATGAAACTGGGTTTTTTTAAAGCAGATTGAATGGTTAAACGGCCCATCTCTTTTCTTCCTGTCTTCTGCAGCCTGGTAAAAGTTAGAATAGAATTGATGTCAGTATTAAAAGGCTGGAAAATAGTGTTCCTGAGCTACCTACCAATTCCTTTTTCCTGTGCAGTGGCGGATTGACTGGAAGCAAAGGCCTTTCTGCAGTACACATACACATTCTTTTATATCCCTTATTTCCATGAGACAGGCATGGTAGACATTCTTTCCCAACCTGGTGCCCTCCAGATGTTAGAATTTGAATAGAATAGAGCTGGAAGGGACCCTGGAAGTCTTCTAGTCCAGCCCCCTGCTCAAGCAGGAGAACATGTGTTGGATTTCAGCTCCCTTCCCTAGCCAGAGAGCCAGTGGAAGTTGACTTGAATGCTTCGGGATGGCATCAGGTTGCAAAAGATAGGTAGAAAGATTTCTATGATCCCAAAGTAGCTCTAGTACAGATCCTGCAATCCAGCTTGGTCCACTTTCAGATTCAGCTTTTTCATTGCAGGCATCTCTCTCACACATACACACACACACACAGATTGAGAAATCTGTCACTTTCCAGATGACTAGGGTAGAGGTTCTCGGTGTGGGTTATGTGATCCCCAAGGGGGGCACACCATATTTCTAGACTGGGCCACAGGCATTTCATGGTACAGTTTTAAAGTATAGGTAATCCTCAATTTATGACCACCATTGAGCCCAAAATTCCTGTTGCAAAATGAGACATTTGTAAAGTGAGTTTGCCCCATTTTATGTCTTTTGTTGCCACAGTTGTTAAGTGAATCACTGCAGTTGTCAAGTTAGTAACTCAATTGTTAAATGAATTGGCTTTCTCATTCACTTTCCTTATCAGAAGTTTGCAAAAGCTGATTGCATGACCCTGGGACATTGCGACCGTAAATATATGCTAGTTGCCAAGCCTACGAATTTTGATCATGCAAGCCCCCAAATCCCAGGCTAGCAGGGCCAAAGGAATCCCCTGAAGAAATAATTCCAACATGATCTCAGATATACTGATTCTGGAAATACGATGCTTCTCATTGGAATGTTTGAGCACCTATATTTTGTTGGAAAGCGTGCAAATCCCAGTGGGCTTAGTTTGATGGGATTTATCATTTAGAGTATCTGCAGGAATTTATGTTAGAGAGCGTGGGGTTGCTCGGCACATTTTTGATTACTAATGGCTTTATTCTTTTAAGCCTTAAATGGTCAATTTCAAGGGCCTGCCAAATGTAGGCCCTGGTTTGTCTCAGGAAAGTGCAGAGGCTCTCTTGTTTGTCCCATCCAGAAGGGCTGGATTGATAGGGAAATGAAATATTTGCTTTTTAAATGTTCTAAATGTTTGCATTCAAATTGTGGAAATCTCACTTCCATAATTTTTAATGTGTATTAGTACTCTGCTGTTGCTGATATGCTTTGATGATGATGATGATGTTGGAAGGGACCTTGGAGGTCATCTAGTCCAACCTCCTGCTCAGGCAGGAAACCCTATAGGGCCTATACCATTTCAGAAAAATGGTACACCATCTGCTCTTACAAATGGTGGAAACTTTTTATTTTGCTTTTCTGCTATCTGTTGGTTTATTTGCTTAATCAGTCTGTTTATCAGTACTGTTATTAATTTGGAAACTTATTCTATTTTAGGACTAGTTTTAAGTTCATTTAATTCAATACTTTCAACTATAATAAGTATTTTCACTGTCTTTCTCCACACCTCCCAGAATCTTTCCATTGATAGATTCTGGTAAAATTATCTAGTTAAATTTTTCAGATGAGGTGGATCCTACAGATTGGACCTATTGAAGGCTGTTAACCATGTGCAGTGTCAAAATTTATGTGGGGCGATATGATGAGGACAAGCTGAGGCCATCCAAGCTCAGCAGCTGGTCCAGTAAGGAACATTCTTGCTGATTGAAGGCTATTAATAGTTGGGAATTGAGAACAGTGGGACACACATGTTCTCCACATCAGGGGCAGGCCCTGTTCCTGCATGCAAAGGGAATTGTTGCAGCAAAGGATCTATAGCAGGGTTGTCAAACTGCCGGCCCGCGGCCAGTTTCATCATACTGGAGTTGCACCCACCCCATTGCCGGTAACGGCGAAAAAGCTCCGATACGTTGCGCGACATGTGACGTCGCGAGTTTGACATGTCTGATCTATAGGATATACTGATGACAAAGCAGTTGCTCACTCAGCTTACGCAAAGGAAAAGTGTGGTCCAATTTACTTGGTGCATAATGGAACACATGTTTTTCTTGCTAGCAGGTGGTCCATGTTTTTTTTTCTTTTTTTCTCAATTTCACATTCCATTTGAAAACTATCAAAGAAAGATGCAAGAGGACTTTTTTTTGTTTTGTTTGTGCTCTGTTCCTGCAGTGATGCAAAATTCCAACACTCTTAGTGTAGCAGATGGAATTAATCCACAGGGTAGAAAAAAACAGATTGTGTTTATTTCTTTAGCTGTATGACATTGCCTCCCATATATTCCAAGACACAGATCCTCCAACTCAGCTTAAAATTCAGATTTTTTTTTCATTCCTGGCATCTGTCTCTGGTGCCCACAGAAGCAAACACACCTGCCTTTTTTTTATTTGTCCTCCCTGTGTTGTAATGTGAGTTTTCCAGAAAACGTTGAATTGGAAAGAAAACATTTAAAAACTCTAAATCTGTCTTCCACATCTTGCTCTCCTCTGGATCCATCACATTAACATCTCACATTTTGACCAGCCATTTAATATTTAGCATTTTAGGTAACTAGGGAGAATGCAGGATAATAAATGAGACCTTTGGAAGATATAGGCCAGGAATGCAAAAAATGGGCAGGGGTAGTAGGCTTGTAGAGCCCACCAGCTTCCTTTTTACAGCTCCCAACCCCCATTCAAAGTGAAGAGGCAATAATTTGGATTTTGCTTTGGTTTGCAATTTTTAGGATTTAGGGATGGGATTAAGAGACAAAGGATAGAGATGATCTGATTGAGTTCACCCAGTTCTTACATATCTACATTTCCTTCCAATTTACCTTGGTGAATTTTTGCTAGGACTTTAAAATAAGAAATTATCTGTACATGAGATGAGATCAGATGAAACGTGCATAAATCTGCATATGAATGAACTTTTTAAAAGATTGGTACAGTATGTATTCCAGTATATAATAGCATTATTGCTGAAAAGGCATTTTCCTGTTCATGTTTTAGAGAAGGTTGGTTCGTTCTTCTAAGATGTACTTCTAACTAGATTATTTTGCATTTCCTGATTTTTAAAGGTAGAAGAGTATCATTATGCTGTAACAAAGGGATGGGCAAACTTTTTTTTTTTTTTTTACTGAAAATCAAAACAAATGTTTAAATAATTTTTAAAAGATAAAACTGTACAGGATTGCCCAAACATTTGGGATTTCAGTCATATCCTTTTGTGTGATTACTGAAGTCCTGCATTTATTTATTTATTTATTTATGAGACTTATATACCGCTTTAAGTGCAAGCACTCTCTAAGTGCTGTACACCTGTAAGCAATGTATATATATATTTACATTGCCCCCAACAATCTGGGGAGAACAGTGAAATTTTGTGAGAATTGGCAATTCCATAAAGCATTTCAACTTATTAAAAAAATGTTTTGATTTTGGCAGGCCATAGATGCCATCTAGGAGTGTTGCAAGTATCTTACTGCCTACAGATAATCACATTGTCGCTTTCTTTCATAGTAAATAAAAGAGAAGTAATATTCATGGATACATTATTGTGTGGTTTATTCCAAACTCTTTGTAGCTCTTTCCATTTTTTAACCAAAAAGCTTGACCTAGACTGGCATTTCCATTAATTTACAATAGCTTTGATCAAGCAATAAAAAACTTTTCTCTGATTAATTGGCCGGGATGTGCCTTTTATTTGTTGTAATGTCTAACAGTTTAAAATATGAGGCTTCGTGGGTAATCTTTGGTCATAGAATTAGAAAGGCAAGAAATCCGGAATGGCCAAACACAGGACAAAATAGGAGTTTATTCTGCTGCTTGGCTATCCCTTGAAAGAAAGCAGATTTCTCTTTCCCAGTGGGTGGGAGGAAGAAGGAGGAGAGGAGGAGGTCCTAGAAAGCAGACGAGAGGGTGGTTAGAAAATTGGCTGGGTGCCTCGTGTGCGTGTTTGTCTGCTGTTATCCTGGTGACCATTGCTTATGCCATTGCAAATTGCTGATCTTGCACTTTGTAATAGCTGCAGGATGTCTCATTAGAAAAAGGAGTATAGTAGGAGTTGAGGCTTAGCTAAACTGCTGCAACCTCTGAACCGAACCAGGGAGTTCAGGCTTTATTAAAAAAAAAAAAAACCCTCTCTCCCTCTGTACATGCACCTAGGCCAGTGATGGCGAACCTTTTAGAGACCAAGTGCCCAAAAACTGGCCCCGCCCTGGTCCACCCCCCCATCCCCTGCCCCGCCTGCCCACAGGACCACTCACCGCCTCCAGGGCCCGCCACAGATCGCCCTGGCAGCCTAGCACTGCTATGCCGGCCACACCCTCTGCCCACACCCTGCAGCATCAATTGTGCACGATGCGGCGTGAGGGCAGAGTCTTGTCTATGCTGCCTGGCTGCCATGTCCTTGGCTGCGCTGCTCCGTGTGGGCCATGCTCGGGGGTGACTCTCCTTCGGGGGGCTGCTGGAGAGGAGGGGGTTGCGGGGGGAAGCAAGGCTGGGGCAACGGCACAAGTGCCCACAGAGAGGGCTCCGAGTGCCACCTCTGGCACCTGCGCCATAGGTTCACCACCACTGACCTAGGTGCACAAAAACCTAGAATCAGATTTATCCCTGGGTCCCTGGTTTATGGGCTAGCTTCAGTGGGCTAGTTGCCTACATTATACAAGAAATATTAGAAAAGTTGGAAAAGAAATATTAGAGAAGTTGGAAAAAAGTGTCTGAAGCAGTTCTATTTTTTTCTTTATTTTTCTCCCTCTCTCTCTCTCTCTGCAGTTATATGAACTTGATGGAGATCCGAAAAGAAAGGAATTCCTGGATGACCTCTTCAGTTTTATGCAGAAACGAGGTGAGCTTTATTTCCTATCTCCAGGGCATGCTGCGGATTATCTTTTAAGGCAGTGGTTCTCAACCTGTTGGTTGGGACCCCATTTGGGGTCGAACGACCATTTCACGGGGGTCGTCAAACAACACAGTCCGCCATTTTTTTCCCCTTTTCCTTAGCTGTGCTACTCCCTTTTATTCTATTGGCTTTTGAAAGCCAATAGAATAGACTCTCTTGAATAGAGTCTAATTCTATTGGCTTTCAAAAGCCAGTAGGAATTGTCCAGGCTGTCTCTGTCCTGCTGAGTCCGCCAAAAGTCCCATTCTGCAAACGGTGCTGCACCAGTTGAGTAGTCCTCGACTTACGACTGGTTTAGTAGTCCTCGACTTACGACCGGTTGCAGGTCGCGGCATTAAAAAGGTTGAGAACCACTGTTTTAAGGGCTTTTGCCAAGTTTAGAGGCAGAGAGAAAGAGAGAGTTCCAGAATTGGGGAAGGAAAGTAGATTTGCATGTAGAAGGCTCCCCTGAATCCTAGATTTCCAGTTCTCAAAGATCACATATAAGAGATGGGAATAGTCTCCGTCTTCTTGATCCTGTGGAAGATGCTGCTAGTTAAAATACTTGGATTAAAAGAGCAGTGAAATGACCACAGATGAACGGATGAACAAATTTATGCTTGATACTTCTGCTGATCCAGTCTGCTCTGAACCTTGGTAAGTAACTGACCAGTAAGCCAGCACCAGACTATTGAGAAAACCCAGGTGGGGCCCAGTTATTCTAGGAGCAGCCCTCTTGGGCAGCACTTTTAACAGATATGTAATGACTGGTAAATGGAGAGGGATTTGGTTTTTTATTTCAATTCGTGTGTGTGTGTGTGTGTGTGTGTGTGTGCAGCTTAGTTACAATCAGAGCTGCTAAGGGCACAATGGGAAAGTCTTCACGTTCCTTTTTTTTGTCCCCATTTCTCCCATGCCTGCAAGGGGGGGGGGGACAAAACCAGCATTTAGATGGTCTGACTAGAACAGGCCCAGTTTTGCATTTTGCCTTACCTGATTTTCTCCAAGATTGTAGATGCACAAAGCAAATTGGATTTAAATGGCCTGGCTTAGCATATTGTCTGAATGGCCCCTCTCTTGCATAAGTGCAGACAAGGGTCTTTGTCTTTATCAATACACTGAGTCTATATTAATGATGATATTCATCTGGCGACGAATTATGGGATGTTTAGAAACCAACTGCTCAGAAATGTAGAGAAATGTTACTACATAGATCAGGGGTCTTCAAACTTGGCCATTTTATGACTTGTGAAGTTCAACTCCTGGCTGAGGAATTCTGGTAGTTGAATAATAATAATAATAATAATAATAATAATAATAATAATAATAATAATAATAATAATAATAATAATAATAAAAAGTTGGAAGGGACCTTGGAGGTCATCTAGTCCAACCCCCTGCTCAGGCAGGAAACCCTATACCAGGGGTCGGCAACCTGAAATGGTGAAAGAGCCACTTTAGACCCGTTTCCCTCACAAAAGAAAAAACTAGGAGTTGCAAAATGTGCGCATGCGCACACGCATGCACACACAAACGTAACGGGGCTTGATTAAAGAGTGGAGCTAAGGCAACACATGCACCAGCCCTGTCCCCATCCAGCTCCCCCTCCCCCAGGCTGAATGTTGCTGCAGTTGAGAAATGCTGATCCAGACCGATTTAATACCTGCTGCACTTTCAACACTGCCCTGTTTTTGGTAGAACGAATGTCGCAATACTGCTACTGTGGGCTCACCCAGGCAGCAGAAGTGTCCCCTCCCTTCCAGCTCAATTTATCAAACCAGGGCAGAAACGGGAACAGGGCTGGTCCCGTCACAGGTTGTGGCTAACCTTTCCCAAAGGGTATCGCAGATGCAAATGCCTCTCGTTTGCTACCTGCAGAAGAAGATGCTGGTGGCGCATGGCCTGGATTGAGACCACCCCCTGCGGTGCCAGCTAATGCGGTGTGCTTCTCTTTGCAAACAAACGTGAAAGGTTTTGGGGTTTCACTCGCCCGCTCACCCGAGTGGAGACCCTACGCCGCCCCTTCTCCTGCGGCCAGGGAAAGAGGGCCGGCCCCGAGCCTGTCCTGGAAAACTTTCTAGGGCCCGAATATCCCCACACCCCCTTCCCCGTCAGACCAGGCATTGTGGATCCGCAGCAGGAGGGAACCCTCCGGACCTTTGGTACTCCCGGCAGTGGCGGCGGTGGCGAGTGGATGGGGAAGGGCCATGGCTGCCCAGTCGCCGCCTCCTCCTCTCTGGCCTCGCTCAGCGTGACCGGCGGTGGCGACAGCAGGAGGACTGAAGGGACGCGGCTGCCCGGGCTGAGGAAGGCGCCACCGATGGAGACAAGGTGCGGCCAGGTGGCAGAGAGCTCGGTGGCAGCGGCGGCACTGGGAGGACGGCGAAGGGCTGCAGCCGCCTGGGCCGAATTGGGACAGGATGGCGGAGAGCCCGTGGCAGCGGGAGGATGGCGAAGGGGTGCGGCCGCCCAGGCCGAGGTGGGGCAGGGCAGTGGAGAACCCCGTGGCAGCGGGAGGATGGCGAAGGGGTGCGGCCGCCCGGGCCGAGGTGGGGCAGGGCGGTGGAGAACCCCGTGGCAGCGGGAAGATGGCGAAGGGGTGCGGCCGCCCGGGCCGAGGTGGGGCAGGGCGGTGGAGAACCCCGTGGCAGCGGGAGGATGGCGAAGGGCTGTGGCCGCCCGGGCAGAGGTGGGCCCAGGTGGCGAAGAGCTCGGTGGCAATGGGAGGACAGCGAAGTGCTGCGGCCACCCGGGCCAAGGTGGGGCTGGGTAGTGGAGAGTCCCGCAGCAGCGGGAAGATGGCAAAGGGGTGCGGCTGCCCGGGCCGAAGTGGGGCAGAGCAAAGGAGAGCCCAGTGGGAGGATGGCGAAGGGGCGCAGGCGCCTGGGCCGAAGTGGGACAGGGCAGCGGAGAGCCCAGCGGCAGCGGCGGCAGCGGGAGGACGACCAAGAGGCACCGTGCAGCAGGTGGGGAAAGGGCTGGGCAGGTGCCACGGGGAAATCTCTTGACCCGCAAGACGGCCGAAAGGCGCGGGCGGAGTGGGGAAGCTACCGAGACCCTCGGCGACCCCCCCAACTAATAGAGGCCGCGGTGGAGCAGGGTGAGGGGAGACCCGCCGGGCAGGGAAGAGGCATCCCGAGACTGGCTACCCACGGCTCCTTACCCAGTTCTGCCACCTTTCCAGCAATCCTCCTGGCTCTTCCTCCGCTGCCACCACATGCAATCTGAAGAAGGAAAGAGGTTTGTGGACAGTCCCACAAACTAAAGAAGTTCAACCAATCAGTTCAAACTTCGTGAGAAGTTTGAATTGATTGGTTGAACTTTTTTAGTTCTACTTTCTTTTTTTCAGACTGCACATGGTGGCTGAGGACAGGGAGCCGCAGGGGATGCCTGAAAGAGCCGCATGCAGCTCTGGAGCCGTGGGTTGCCGACCCGTGCCCTATGCCATTTCGGACAAATGGCTGTCCAGTCTCTTCTTAAAAACTTCCAGTGTTGGAGCATTCACCGCTTCTGGAGGCAGGTTGTTCCACTAGTTCAGTGGTTCTCAACCTTTCTAATGCCGTGACCCCATAATATAGTTCCCCATGTTGTGGTGACCCCCCCAACCACTTATATATCATCGGGTGCCAGGGCTGTGGCCAAAGAAAAGGGGGAAAAATGGTGGACAGCCTTGTTTGGCGACCCCTGTGAAATGGTCATTCGACCCCAAATGGGGTCCCGACCCACAGGTTGAGAACCACTGCACTAGTTAATTGTTCTGACTGTCATAAAAGGGCCAAGTTTGAAGACCCCTGACATAGATCCTGGGATTTATGCTGTTGGTAGGAAGAAATATAAATAAGGCAGCTTCACCATTCCATCTAATTACCAATTTATTGTTTTGGACCTGGTTAAATTAGTGGAAGAAATGAATTCAAAGAGGTCCTCAAATTAGTGAACAGAGAGAAGGTATACTCAGTGTGAGATTCTGTTGGTGGAAACGATTAAGATACAGTATTCCGTCATTCTACCTTTTTATAGATTAAGATTGTACAGATTTTTATAGATTTAAAAGCAGCTATTCCTGTAATATGTTCTGTTTTTTCTTAATAGTTTTCAAAACTAGGAAGCATTAAGTTCTTGAAACTGCTAGATAATACAAAAATACAAAATCTGCATAGCTTCATTAGGTACTTCACACTGCATCCTACATATAACCACTACATGGTGCATTTGGAGAACTTTTGGGAAGGAACGAGGAATGAACATTGTGAAAGTATGCATTTTGATTCAAACAGCAAATAAGATTTTTTTTTTTTTAAATTGAAGGGTCATATTGCCAGGTGGTAATCTAAGATGTTTGGGGAGAGCAGCAAGTTGGAGAATGCTTCCTTTGAAAGATTGCAGAAATAATGAGCAAGTTTTCATGACCAGAAATAATGAGCCATTTTCGGGCTTCATGTTAAAGGAAGGAGACGATTGGAGATGGCAGGGCCACTGGAAAGAACCCTTGTCTGCAGCTTGTTACAGTCTTTGGGATAAGGATACAGGAAGCATTTTGCAGACTTAATTAAATTAGGTTTGGGCCTAATCTTAAAAAGGTCTCTGGTTGCAGCAAGGCATGCTGGAAGACATAATGGTCCTTCTGCCTTTGAAAATATAAATGCCAGCAATGGCTTGCAGCTGGCTCCAGCACTAATTGGAAGATGGGGGCCCCTTGGGCATGTGAGACAGAGGGGATGCCGGAGTCAAGAGGGGCAGGGGCTCTTTGCTCACAGATCTGGAAAATTGAACTTTAAATGTTAATGTTAAGTATAGTCTGATTTTTCCCCAAGTTAAATATAAATAGAGGTACCTAGATAGTTGGAGGGAAAATTGTCTCCCTGTTGAGTGCCAAGGAAGTCCCATTATTGGAATCCAAGAATATTCTCTAGCCTGATGCCCTACAGATGTGCTGGATCCCAGAATTGCTAGACAGTAGAACTCAA